GATAGGGATGGCGCTGCGGTCCCGGGAGGGAAGGAGCTCCGTGCCGGAGCCGTGCCCCGTGTGAGCGGCGGCGGGGAGCCGAGCKGAGCCCAGCCGAGCCGGGCTGCGGGAGCCCCTCCTGGGGAGCGGGGAGGGTGGTCCGGGAGCCGCCAACCGAGCGCTCGGTAGGTCAGGTCGAGCCGCCCGATTGTCCCGCTGCATTCAGAACGGGGTGAAGGAGGGTCGTGGGGCTTTTTTTATTATATCATTATTATAATTTTTTTTTTTTAATTTCTAAACGCGGCTGCGCGTTTTCTTGCCGGCATGGCGTGGGGAGCCGGGAGGGAGCGCTGCGCGCCGGGGGTCCGGTAGCTCCGCAAAAGCCGGGGGGAGCCGACCCCCACGGCTCACCCGGGTGCCCCCCTCTCCCCCTCCCCTCCTGCAGGCACCAGCCGCCGCGATGCCGCTCAGCGCCGGCTTCTCCAGCAAGAACTACGACTACGATTACGACTCTGTGCAGCCCTACTTCTACTTCGAGGAGGAGGAGGAGAACTTCTACCTGGCGGCGCAGCAGAGGGGCAGCGAGCTGCAGCCCCCCGCCCCGTCCGAGGACATCTGGAAGAAGTTTGAGTTGCTGCCCACGCCGCCCCTCTCCCCCAGCCGCCGCTCCAGCCTGGCCGCCGCCTCCTGCTTCCCCTCCACCGCTGACCAGCTGGAGATCGTGACCGAGCTCCTCGGAGGGGACATGGTCAACCAGAGCTTCATCTGCGACCCGGATGACGAGACCGTCAAGTCCATCATCATCCAGGACTGCATGTGGAGCGGCTTCTCCGCCGCCGCCAAGCTGGAGAAGGTGGTCTCGGAGAAGCTGGCGTCCTACCAGGCAGCCCGCCGAGAGGGGGGCCCCGCCGCCCGCCCCGGACCGCCGCCCGCCGCGCCGCCGGCACCGCCACCRGGACTGGCCGCGTCCCCCGCCGCCTCCGCCAGCCTCTACCTGCACGACCTGGGCGCCGCCGCCGCCGACTGCATCGACCCCTCGGTGGTGTTTCCGTACCCGCTGAGCGAGCGGGCCCCGCGGGCCGCTCCGCCCGGCGCCAGCCCCGCGTCCCTGCTGGGCGACGACACGCCGCCCACGACCAGCAGCGACTCGGGTGAGTGGGACCCACGCGTGCTCCGCTCCGGGAGGGCGTGGGAACCCGCGGGATCCCGGGGCGCAGCTGGAAGGCAGCACCCCCGCCTTTCCCCTCACCCCGCTTTTGCCCCCCTCCTCGCATGAGAATTTTTTTTTTTTTTTTTTAATGCCACGTTTGCGAGGCACGGAGAGTCCCAGCCTGTTTATTTCCTGGAAAACCAGTCCAGTTTTTCCTCCGGGGGGGAAGGAAGAGAAAAGGGGGGAAAAAATTTTAAAAGAAGTGTAGGAGGGCTAAACTTTTATAATGGGGTCCCGATAAGGCTGACTCCCGGTGTCACCCGTGGGCCGGGAAGGAGTTAACTCCCGCCCGAGAGCCGCGGGGGGAATGTGCAGTCAGGGAGGTGCTAGTGAAAGTGACTGCAGGGGAGTGAATGGGGCTGGGAAAGTTTTAGAAATGCTTCCTTAGGTATGTGACAGCGGGTTCCGCTCCCTCGTAAATCTGGTTTGAAAATGAGTTTCTCCCCAAAGCTCTACAGCCTTCCCTTTTTCCTTTTTTCCTTTTTTTTTTCTTTTTTTTTTTAACTCCCTCCTATTTTCCACAAATTAACAGATCAAGAGAGAGATTCAGAAAATGTCTCTGAATACCCRTGTGTGTTAAGTAAGCTTTCTTTTAAGGCGTGGCCAAAGCCTTCTAAATCCATAATTAAGGGCAGCTTGAGTCTGGGAGCTTTATTGCGCCGTACTGCTGACAACCGAGGTTAAACTTTCCTACTATCTTTCATGCACTCGACATTACGCAAGATCATTACAACTTTTTGAAATCAGGGAGCCAGGGTTTGTACTGCAGTCCAAGTGTCCTATTGCACTGGAAGCATTGCTTCCTTGAAGGAAAGGCTCTTGGGGAAAGTAGTGTCCAGCATCATGCAATGGATTTAAGAAGGGTTTGTCATTGGGTTCCTCATTGTGCAACTCAGAGTAGCCTTCCCTTATACATACAGTAGTCTTGAGTGTATCTACGTACAAGTTATGATTTATTTTTTAATTTTTTTTTTTTATGGCAGAAGAAGAACAAGAGGAAGATGAGGAAATCGATGTTGTTACATTAGCTGAAGCGAATGAATATGAATCCAGCACAGAGTCCAGCACAGACACGTCAGAAGAGCACAGTAAGCCCCACCACAGCCCGCTGGTTCTCAAACGGTGTCATGTCAACATCCATCAGCACAATTATGCCGCTCCTCCCTCCACCAAGGTTGAATATCCAGCTGCAAAAAGGCTACGGTTGGACAGTGGCAGAGTTCTCAAACAGATCAGCAACAACCGAAAATGCTCCAGTCCACGCACTTCAGATTCAGAAGAGAATGACAAGAGGCGAACGCACAATGTCTTGGAGCGCCAGAGGAGAAATGAGCTGAAGTTGAGTTTCTTCGCCTTGCGTGACGAGATACCCGAGGTGGCCAACAATGAAAAAGCTCCCAAAGTTGTCATCCTGAAAAAAGCAACAGAGTACGTCCTTTCCATCCAGTCAGATGAACACAGACTGATTGCAGAGAAAGAGCAGTTGAGGCGGAGGAGAGAACAGTTGAAACACAAACTCGAGCAGCTAAGGAACTGTTGTGCATAGGAACTCTTGAGCATCACTTAGAATAATGCAAAYTAGACTGAAACTATGATAAAATATTAATGATTCTAATATCTCTCATGAACTACGCAGTCCATCAAGTATGGAACTACTGCAACTGCATGCTGTGCGATTTAACTTGAGACTACACAACCTTGGCTGAATCTCYCAAGGGTTTGGCCAGAACCTCAAAACTGCCTCATAATTGATACTTTGGACATAAGGGATGATGGGACATTCTTCATGCTTGGGGATGAACTGTTCAATTTTTTTTCTTTTAAAATTTTGTATTTAAGGCATTTTTTCATACGAGAATCCAAAAGAAAAAACTTGTCCCCAGTTTGCTGTATATATTTACACATCATATTGCCATGTAAATACCTTTAATAAAGCCTTTATAGAAAAAATGTGCAACATTAATACGCAACAGTTGTGGCAACTGGATTTATACTTGTCTTGAACTTCTGTGCCATAACATTTCACAATTTTGTTTTTTATTTAAATACTTTTTTTCCTTTTAAAAATGGTTTTTATTTTGTTTTTAGATAAATAAATATTTGCCCAAAATATAATTAGCTAAATCCTGTGTAAAGACTTCACTTTGTCTCCCACTGTTGTCATTAGATGTCTATTTCCATGACATTCCTTCTTCTGTCATCATTGCAATGACCTGACTAAAGTCAAAGGGGCGTTGGGTGAGGGAAAATGGTGATTTGCAGCTCAGTAGGGAGTTGTTTCTTGCTCCCACCCTGTCTCTTAATTCAGGTGGATAAAATTGTTGGTCTAATGTGCSTTGTCAGTTCAACTTGCCTTGCCACCCTGTCCTCCATGAAGGTGATGGTAGCARTATCTGTGTTGGTCATGGTCCTCTACCTGCTGAAAGTAAAGCTGGAGTAGTGTATTTTCTCACCAGTCACCCCAGTATATAGGATCTGCATTCCTTCCACATGCATATAATTACATTTTCAGGGCATGACCTTCATTCTGCGCTAGGGACATAGCCACATACTTTGAGGGCTGCTTTGTAGTAGGCTCACCTTAATTGCTTCCTGTTTGATTTTAACAGAAGTTAAAGAGGATAAGAAAATAAACTGAGATGGTGAGTGCTGAAGTGGTTAAAACAACAGAGCGGTTTCCCTTTTTAAGTGCTGAAATCAGCAGAGCCAATCTTGGTCAAACACCTTAACGCTTTATTAATGTGAATGATTACTTGGGATTGCAAGGGATACAAAGTTCAAGGACACAGAATAGGGAGCAAAGGARAAGGAGAGCTATTTCTCACTTGAGGAATATGCTCAGACAGATTCCTAACATTTGCCAGACATATTAAATAATATTTACATTCAGGACTTGTCTCATGGTCAGCTTCAGATGGGCCGTAAGGTATTAGCTTGACACAGCTCCTAAGATTAGATTTGATCTTTTCTCCCCTTTTCACCCATTTAGCCCCACTTTGGTCATGACTTAAGCAACGAATCAATGGGCCCTTTGATGTGGAGGAAGAATGTGTTTTGCAAACACTTGAGCCTTGCACTTTTTTGATTTTCATAATTCCCGTTAAATACATATTTGTTTGGCTTCTAACCACTGGAGGAGCGGTGGTGCCGGACAGCACCAGCGCCAGAAACTGAACTGGGACCAAGGGTTCAGGTTTTCTATGGCTTTTGAGTTCAGAGTGGGAAGGAGAATGATTGGGTGTGGGTATATGTGGGATAGGGGCAGGTGGCACTTTATGGACAGGGTGGATGCCAAAGGTCTCTGCTCTGCAAAGCTGTGGGTAACCATCCCAACAATCTTCCATGTGGGAGTTCGGAAAGAAGGTAAGTGTATAAATCTATTTGGTGCAGGGTTTTAGGTGTTTGAAGGTTTCTTGGGGAAAAAAATCCATTCTATTAGAAAAATGGGACAAAGCAAGACTTTTCNTTTTTTTTTTTTTTTTTTTTTTGTGTCATCCCCTGTAACTGGGTTTATTGAAGTGGTCTGCAGTTGCTTTTTTCTGGCGTGTGATTCAGATATTCACTTATGAGGAAAAAGAATTATGTGAAATGAAACTGTTAATTGTATCTGAACTGTAAATCAGGACAACTTGCAACTATGAATAACATAAAAGTTCTACCTTTTACTAGACAGGATATCTAAGTTTAAAAATACATTGATTTCATTTGCCTTTTGGTGTGCTCCCTATTTTAGATATTGCTTCAGAATGGAAACAAGATGTTGTTCAAGAATTTATAACTGCAACCCCATCCTCCAAAATGAACCAGGAGGTGCAGATCCATCCACAAAAACTGAAAAATATCATCCGTCACCTCTGAGTCTCAGTTTCATGTGTTAGCAAACCCCCCTTTCRTCTTCCCGTTAAATGAGGCCAGACCACAATGATTAATGAACCTCTTCTTACTTGTCGGCTTTTTAAATCATTTGGAGAATGGTTTYGGGTTTTTTCTTCTATCTGCAGAAGGTCCTTAGTCTTTTGATGAATAGGATGCTTGCAGTTATTTAATTTCTTACTYTCATCTTTTAATTAAGCATCAGTTCTTGTTGCCACTTTCCTACTGGAAAACATCAAGTCATGATCCCAAACTGCCACTCTAAAAAAGTATGATTTTATGGAATGGCACTTCATATTTATGACATTTCTTGCCTTGTTGTAGGATTGCAAGGTACCGAAACAATGCAATTTAAAAAAAAAAAAAAAAAAAACCTAAACAATGCAATTTTAAAAAAAAAAAAACAGCCTGTAGGTACAGGGTTAAGAAACCTCTTCTGGTCATTAAATTGCTGCTGGAATAAAGAGGAATGTGGCTTCTTCTTTCCAACTCCTCACAAGAGATTAGGATGTKCGGAAGACACAACTCACAGGAGTTTCTGGGTTGGATTCAGTTAGTAGTGCATTGTATATGGATAGGAAAGTGTTGGGTTTTGCTGCTGTTTTGGAGCAATGGAGGAGATAGAAGCATCTGAGCCTTGAAATGAAATGCAGTATTTACAGTGCTTGCCAAACAGCTCTGCCGAAGCTCTACTTGGAATACAATGAACATTTTTAATTCCACCTCTCTGCTCRTTTACTTTCACAGGACACTTCAAGCTACTTCTCTTCCTGAAGAACTTTAGGCAAAATGTGGCATCAAAGGAAACTAGAAACAAACCATCATGGTGAAAATAGAATTTCCTTTATCATATTCTTTCATTGAGTTAATTTAATTAAATACCATTTTAAAGGATTCCAACTTAATTTTTTTTGTTGCGTTTAAGTTCTYTCTTTCCAACCAAGTTATCATTTAAACGGCTTCAATGTTTCAATACAGAATATTCTAGGGGAGAACTGGGATGTATAAAAGAACACGTGCCTGCTTAATTCAGCTCCCATCGGAGTCTGTCGAAATTCCATGTTTCTTCCAGGGAAACAGATTTGTGCCAGTGGAGGATGCTCTTGAAAATTTTATCAGTACCTATAAAGAAATCACTTTACTTCTCCCTACATAAGCGCTCTTACTCATGTAGCACTTTGCAACCCTTGCAGGCAGTTGAGAGATGACAAACATTTCATCAGAGTTGCATGAAAAGGAGAATTTCAGGGAAGTGGCATAGAATAACTGTGGATTGGAAATAAGCCAGGCCACTGCAGTTGAAATCTGAATTTATTCAAAACAGAAGGTGGAGGTGGTTGTTTCATCTACAGAGATGAACCATCTTCTAATATGTTGGGGTTTTTTTTTTTTATTTTATTGATTTGTGTTAGAGTCATCTGCCAAGGAATTAACAGAAAAATTAAAGTGATCCTAACACAAGCAAACAGCCTGGGGAGAGACTCAGGATTTACTTCCCAGTTTACAGATTTGCTATTCCTTTGTTTTAAAAAGACATTTATGGGAACTTCTGAGAAAAAAGGCTCTGCTGACTGAGAACTAAGCCCTGTTTTTCCCTTGTCATTTTCACACAGATGAGGCCTAAACTTGCCTAGAAAAACAGTGAAATCAAGAAATGAGATAGATAAGCTGCAGAAACCAGATTTCATTTCCAGTACGAAACATTTGATGTTCAGCAGGTTTTACCTACCTTCGTGTCATTTACTCATCTCAGGCATAGCTGTAATGTCAGCAGGGACAGGCAGTAAAAAAAATGTTATGCAAGATTCAGAGTAGCAGCTAGAAGGTCAAAGGGGATTTTTTTCCTAATTTAACCAATCATCTTATACATAAACCTTGAGTGAAGGTACAAGAATTTGGAGCATCTTTCTCACAACCGTGGACTCAGATATGTAATTCCCTTCATAGAACCGTAGAACTGTTTTGACTTTAAGATCATTGAGCCCAACAACTAACCCAGCACTGCCAAATCCACTACTAATCCATATCCCCAAGTGCCACACCCACACATCTTTCAAATCCCTCCAGGGATGGTAACTCAGCTGTCTGTCAACCAACACCCCCAGGTCCAATTCCACCTGGCAGAAAATACTGGCCCCAATACTGGGCCCTGCAGAACACCACTTGCAACTGGATTTAACTCCACTCACCACCATTCTTATCCAGCCAGAATTTTACCCAGTGAAGAGTGCAAATATCCAAGCCATAAACACTCAGTTTCTCCTGGAAAATGCTGTGGAAGGMAGTGTCAAAGGCTTTGCTAATGTCTAGGCAGACTTCAGAGCCTTTCCTGCATCCTCTAAGTGGGTCACCTTGTCATAGAAGGAGATCAGGTTGGTCAAGCAGGACCAGCCTTTCATAAACCCTTGCTGGCAGGTCCTGATCCCCTGGTTGTCCTGTAGCTGTCACRTGATGTCACTCAAGATGATCTGCTCCACACTCTTCTCTGGCACTGGGGTCAGACTGAGGGCGTGTAGTTCCCCAGATCCTCCTTCCAGCCCTTCCTGCAGATGTGCATCATGAAAGAGTTGCATTTATCATGCTCCCAGGGGGAGCAGGTTTGGGTGAGACACAGGCCAGGCAGTGGCAATATCAACCTCTTCATTTGTGCCTATAATTACAGGTCTTTTTTTGCATCTCTAGAGAGTTCAAGCAGCTTGTCTCTGTCCAGACTCCACCTTCCTAGCAAATGAAATAAACTATTTTTTTTTTCTCATAATGATGAATATGACCTTTGGTGCTGAATAGTAATGCATAAGAAAAAGCTTTATTGGCCATTTGCCAAAAACTATTTAATATTTGTAGTTACTGAGCAAACCTTGTTTCAAGTTGCATGGGACCCCAAGCTTCAAGGCACTTTTGCATGGTTGTGCTTGAACCACGAGACACAAGGGAGAAATCATTGGCTGAGAGCAGACCTGCACAACTCAGGCTGACTGAAGTACCTTGTTCCCACAAGCACTGTTTCCAGTTTCCAGCTTGACACAGGAATGGTGGAGCTCTTCTTTTTTTCTGAACAAGTTTAGGAGAAAGCAGCTAATTCCTGACATGTGTTATGGTGATTACAGTTCGTTGCTAAATTCACCCCTCGTGCATGTCTCTCTACAGACCTTGCTATGTCTTCTGTTCTGTTGAAGACAATTCCATTCAAGGCAAAATCTGTCTTGCCACCATGTGTAATTTCTATCGCAAACTTCTGTGTCCCAATTACATGGAATTATGTTTTCCA